TCGTTGTTTTCTTTTGTAAATTGTGTAACAATGACAACAACACCAGTAGCAGAAGCAACAACAAAAGAGTATTTACAATACAATTTGTCTCGGATTCTGTGTTGGCACAATGACCACAAGTGTTCATTATGGTCACACCAATGCTTACAGGATTTACCTATGTGTGTTAGTGAGTGCGTGTGTAGATGTGTGCATTCATAGAAATCCTATTGTCCATAGCAATGCATATGTGTGCGTGCATGTTTATGTTCATTTGTATTTTATATCTAGAAATGCCACACAGTATAATATTCTCGTAGTGAACACAATAATCAAAGTTCGTTAACAATGAACAGAGAAGGATTTTTTTCGAAATTTTTGAAACGGACATCGATTTGTATAAATCGAACAATGTTTGGATGTAATAATTAATTTAAAAACGCCCCAAAAGAGGTATAAAAATCAATGGCAAATGTTAATAATTGAAAATAGTAGAGGAAAGTTTGAAGTAGATCGAGGTCATAAACACAATTTGCAACACTGTTTTGCGTATTTAGGGACAAAAGAAACCATTTTTATTTTGTAATTTTCTAAATGGTTGTGTTTTAACACTAGATTTACGGATGCTGAATATATATCTAAAATTTTTACTAGAACTATATCGTGTTCGAAGGGGGGAATTATTGAACCACTTCCACTGGATCCACTGGACCAAATCGGTTTCAGACAATCTGGTTGGTCGACTGGTACGCATGATAACTCTAGAAGGGAGTAACTGATTTCATTCAATCGTTGCATATCGTTATATATATATATTTTTTTTTTCAAGCATAAATCAAGTTCGAAGTGGAAAATTAGTCCTTCTGGTACCTCCCAACAAAATGTAAAAATGGTCATATCATGCGAATGGAATATCAATATTCATAACTTCAATATTAGGTGAATATAATGTCCGATTTGATCCATACGTAATATTTCTTTCAAACTCAGATTAATTTCCATGATGGGGAAAATAGGCCCACTCCTTTTGGTACGTTCCCACAAAATGGTAAAAATTGTGCTGAATGTATTGTATAATATAATGTTGAGCATCCCATTTAAACCAAACTTCGCTCATCCTAATAATTTAACCAAACATGTATAGCGCTTCAAGATGGAACTTATCAGAATACACTCACAAAGGGAGCGAATGAAATGTCTAATTTTAATTAAAAATTTGTCGTAATATTTCTATCTAGTCTAGATCGAAAATTAAAATTTGAAAATCCAATAAGAATTGTATTAAATGTCCGATTCAAGTTCAACGATGGGACGACGCGTATAAGGCTTGAGAAGCACTTCAGCCATCGGCTATATATTCAAAAATTGTTGAAATTTTTACATGAAATTTTATAGGGACATTCTTGAAATAGTGTAGATTCGAATCAAATCAAAAAAGAAAATTAAATTTTTGAAACTGAGAATGTTTGGTAAACTTTGCACATGCAAATATTTTAGCTATGTATTATGTGGGAAGATTGAACTTATCAGCACACTTCTTCCAGTATCAAATATATGTTTACCAAACTTGGATCAAGTCCGAAGATGGTCAACTCTTTGATAAAAACATATACCTCATGCAGAGAAAATTACTGTGAAATTCCGTAGACCTCCGCAAACCATAGGATGGGGGTATATATCTGTCGGCAACACTGACACTTTTTTACTTGTTTTAATATATAAGCATGAACGATAACCAATTGTTACTACAAAACTTTTAAACGGAAACTAAATGAAATATTTTAAATTATTGTTATTATTAGTTATGTGCTAAATACAATAATACAAACGACTTCCTTAGTAGGTGTTAATGAATTGTGTATATAAATACATATTTTATTATTTACTATCATTTCCAATAAAACAAATTAGCTAAATGTTGATGAAAAAATCCACATAACATAGGAATTTTTAAATCAATATCTTGAAATATGTATAAGAGGAACATTGTCTAAATTATTCCGAACCATTTTTATTATTATTTTAAATATTATTGTATTTATGTTATCATACATACATTACATATGTTAGCATAAACAACATATTATTTTATCCAAATCACAAACTTCAAGATATATTTTATGTCAAAATATTAAAACATCACCTAAATGTATCAACTTCCATTTAATAAATAATAACTGAAATACAATTTATTTTTTTTATCATACATAACAGTTTATTGAACTTTTAATATGAGTCAACATCTGCTAAACGATTTTAAATAGGTTCTATTCAGGTTTGAAAACCAGTTACTGTACAAGAAATACAATTAGCATCTATGACTTTTAAACAAACAAACAAATCAGCGATTTTTCATGATCCAAATATTTTTTTTATGAATTTTCAAACTAAATTAGCTAAAATTGTATTTATAAGCCAATTAACCCATTGCCTACTACTGTTGCATTTCCCCAAACTAAATGGGTTAAATACACCAACATAAGCCTACAAGTACCGCTTTTTTCTTTGTAATTATAAATAATTGTTTTTTCTCTATTCGTATTTCCATTTGAAAACAGTAAAACATTTTCCACTCGATTACCTTTATTGAAGGTCACTTACTGGCTAGTCCAAAAACTGAAATAAAATAGGTCAGGCATAAAGATAATCTTGAAAATGGATTTTTAACAATGCGACTGCTTTTGGGCGCAGAACAAAAAGTTTCCACAGAGAAATCGGCATAATAAACAGGCGAAAGTTAGTTGAAATTCGGTTCCATTGTGGGCAGCATCGTGTTTTGCAAAACTCAGCAGCCAAAATGAGAAAACAGTAGTAAAACAGACCAGTTTCGCGAATAAATAAATAAATAAAACGCGTGTTAATTGAATTAGTTAACAGTAACGAAGAAAGAACAAAACAAAATACACGTTTTTGTTGTAGTTGTTGTACTCAGGTAATAGATTCAATTTGGTGTATTTTAAATAATAGTATTCAAATTAAAACAACAACACAAACTGGGGAAGTACCTTGAAAAGTCAAATTGTTATACATTGCGATTTGACGAAATCAGCAATATACGAATTTTTAGATATAGAAAAAAAATTCAGAAATGTTCCCACTGTTCTCTATAAAGAGTTTGTAACGCCGCTAAATACTTTTTCCTAGACCCACCGATCATATCTCGACTACCCGAATCGATCTAGATATGTATGTCCGTCCGTCTGTCCATTATAATTTGTAAACACGATACAGGGCACATTTATGGACCAATCTTCACGATAATCTTCCTGTTTTGATAAAGATCGGTCAATATTTAGCGGGTCAAATGGACCCTGACTTTTGTGTGAAATATCACAAAATTTGTATTCTATAGCGTATATATTTACCCCGGAAGGATGATATATTTACCCGAGAAGTTCATAGTATATCCAAGAGGAGTAGTTGACTATTAAATTGCTACAATTTATAGTGTCGTATGTACTCGGATGTGAGGGTTACAGTTAAATATTTACAGGTGCTTATGTATTCATATATTATTTAGTAACCCATTACCCAGAGTTCAAAAATTTTATATAAAAATTTCCATGAGGATACAGGTATGGTCAAGGACAACGCCTATAATTTTCGGTGATGATCAGGTAATAATATTGGGATGAAGTAACCGAAAACGTATGTTTTTGAGTCGAGCCACAATTGAAAGCCGAACATCACAACACAACTCACGGCGAAGGGAATCTGGACAAGTAATTAAAAGGGCTGTACTCAATATTAGTAATATTTGTTGACCTCTAGTCGGCCAATAGGTTGCAAATATTGCAAAATATTGTCCAAACTCAGAATATAGAACCACAGAATGTTATATTTTCGTATATGTTGTGTAGGGTATTATATGGTCGGCCCCGTCCGACTATACTGCTTTGTACAGTGGGTTTCAATTAGCTTCACATTAAATTTACAAGTTTATAAACTATTGACCCTTGTAAAAGATGTACCAGAAGGAGTGGACCGATTAGTCCCATATTCGGACTTAAGCCAGGGTTGGTTAAAATAATATGTTGTGCAAGGTTTGGTTAGAATCGAACATTCCATTGATATTCGCGTGATATTGGATCTATAAATATAGACAATTTTACCATTTGTGGGGGAGGTACCAGTGGGTACCATCTTCGGCCTAGACTCGGCCCCACAGACGGACGGGCTTTTGTAAATCGACTCCAAATTGTCTGGAAAGTATTATAAAATACCTGATCCCCGCAAAAACATTCTTTAAAAATCCATTCTTGTAACTCAACTGTTTTAAAAATCCATTAGTTTTGCTCAATAAATCCTTAAAATAGTCATTAGTTCTATCAATCCCAGAAAAAATCCCTAAATCGTTATAATCACGTATTAGTGTAGGGGGGTTTAAAATGTTCTCGTCACTTCTACATACATATGATTCAATGTATGTGACGTCGACGCATCATTAAACGCTAAATATGCGCACATTAATCAGAAAATTCCCAGCATAGAAAATCGTATTCGCGAAACATTTCATAAAAAAGCAAAAAATCCCAACATATCATCGTCTCTTATTGAGTCAATACAAACAATAATTCGGCAATATGGCAGAGTCATGGCAAGTCGTTGTTGAAAAAAAAACCCAAGACTTGACCAAAACATATGTATGAGTAGATGTAAACAATCGCTCTGTTGGTGGTGGCATGTGTTTTGGGTGTTTTATCGTCATTAGGTGATGAACGAATGTCTTGTTTAACATTAAGACAGATTCTTTGTTTGTCGTTGTTGTTGTTTTGTTTTGTTTAGATGATAACAACAAATTAGAAACTCAACAAGTTTGACCAGAATCCATTGAGGAGTTTGTGATCTACACACCAATACATACACACTTTCGTCACTCATTAAATGATACACGCGTCCACAGCCCAAAACACTAAACGTTATCTCTTAGTTTCATTGGAACGTTTCAGTTAGATTAAATCCGAACGTTATCAAATACAGAGCATTTACGGTTGCGCAGTAACAATCATCGAATCAGCATGATGTCTGTTAAGGGCCTACGATTGGCCATTATATTAATTATTGTGTCTATTTTAAATAACGAAGGTAAGTATTTCCATCGATTAATATGAAATTACGCTAGTTACTAATTTAGTTTCCCGGTTCACCAGTTTGTTTCGCCCAATTCTTCCAACAACGTCAACCCATACGTAATGTACCCAGGACGGGTTCAGTTTCTCTCGCCAGCAGCCAAGCATATGAACGTGAAGTAGACTTGGGTAGAGTGGAACTTTCTCGTGGAGTGGCCAACTCTCGCACTGTGACCAAAGCGAATGGAGGCTTTGCCAATGGTGGTGTCACATCGGTCTCAAAGAGTAATGCCGTTTCTCGAGAAATTGAATTGGGAAATCTAAATATCGGCAGTACCGTTACCCGCACCAAGACCAACACAAATGGCGCTGTATCCCAAGCAGTATCGCGTGACTTGAATGTGGGCGGACTAAGTCTTGGTACAACGGTGTCACGGGGTAACCCTACATTCGGCTTGCAACGGACCTCGGATGGCGGTTTGGAATTCGGTTTGGGAGCTTTGAGTTTTGATATTTCCCGTAATAACCAAGCGAACAGCAACGCCTTAACCCAAGCACAGGCACAAGCTCAAGGTGTCGGTGCCCGCGCTAAGGCCAATAGCAATTCGAAAACAAACACTCAACAATATGGACGTGCCGAAGTGACGAACACCTTCTCTAAATCGAATGCTATAAGTCGTACACGACAGGGACAAACATCTGCTACTACCGGTGGTATAGCAGGTGGAGCTGCCACCAATGGCGCCACATTCGGCCAAGGAATTCGCAGAGTTAGACAACCAGTGGCCAGCAGACCTGTCTCGAACTTTCCCTTCCGCCCTGTAGTTCAACCTTTCCGATCAGTTAGACCTAAACGTAGGGCACAGTATATACCATTCGTCTTTCCCGGCCAACGTTGGGGAAACAACAGATATCCCGTATTTGGTGGCCAACCCCAAAAACAAAACGCCAATGCTCAAGGTTTGGCCAACAACATGAACGGATTTTTCAATCAACAAGCTGGTGCCAATACTCACTCCAATCAAGAGTTCAATGCCAACGGATTTACACAGGACAATGGTGCCTCTAGTATTGGTTCTAATTTGTCTAAAGACGGAACCAGCGGCCAGGTAGCTTCTTCCAATGTTGCTCAAATGAATTCGTTGAATCAAGGCGGCTTCCAAAGTAGCAACAATGCACAAAGTCAATCGTTGAATTTTGATCGTAACCAGCAACAGGCAAATTCTGCCAATGCCGGCACCAATCAAATTATCACCGCCAATGGTCAACGCAACGAGGCCCAAAGTGGTTCCCAATCAACAAATAACAATCAATTCGGTTCATCCAGTAATATTGCCAACACCAACACGGCCGTCTTTGAAAATGGTAACTCTAAGGGTTCCTCAGCCGATTCCAGTAGCCAGTCCATATTCCAAGGTAACAATGGTCAAAATTCTGCTGCTAATACCCAATCGAATGTAGTCACTAAGCAGAATGCTGACGGATCGATCACGAATTCCGCCACTAGCAATGCCTCTGCTGTTAGCCAAGGTGGTAAGGGTGCCAATGCTGTGGCTTCGGCCAATTCAAGTTCGGGTTCTGGTTTGGGTGGCGGAAATGCCATTGCCCAAGGTTGGGCCGGTACAAATGGTGCCAATGCAAACAGTGGTGCCGTTGGTAATTTAGGTGGATCCCAAGGTTTTGGCAATGCCTTCGGGGGTGGATTTGGTGGCTTCGGAGGTTTTGGAGGTTTTGGAAACTTTGGCGGTTTCAGAGGTTAGAGTGTTATATTGAGTCTTTTTTAATGTAAAAAACAAGTTTTTATTGCACTGTTCCCAACGAATTTTTATATCTTTTGCACAAATAAATTAAATCAATGTTTGTTGTTATTGCTTTTTGTTTATGTATTTGTCACTTTTTATTTTGTTTGTCATTTCACAAGTTGGTGTTGTTTGTGTGTAGTTGTTAAGTATAAACAAGGAAATTGGATTTCATGTGGTGAGTTGATAATTGGGATTTCCCATTTCGTATTTCGTTAGAAGTTGATCTTTTTCCATTCCAATGATTCGGAGCATTCCCTTATTTTATGAGATCTTTAGAGGCGTCTTATCTCACATTGCGTTAGCAAAATCGCAAACGAGGCGAGGGTTACTCAAGTTCCATGAAAATACGTTAAAAAGCTGATACCTGTAGATTACATTATTTGAAGAAGCTGAGGTGGCAATTTTTCTTTTATATGTTATTTCAATATATGCAGTAACATATATTCCAAGTATGGTGTGGCATCAACTTTCCAATAGACTCCTTTTCGTAACTCTTTCAAGATTAAATGAACCTACTTTTAAAATTCGAAAAGTAGCTAAACCACCTGTCTACCGGAAGAAATAAATTCGAAGTCGTCTTATTTCATTCGGTGGTTCATTGTGTACTCCAAGAGTAACAGGAAATAATTGTAGTGGTAGTTCCCTATATAAGTCAAAGTGTTGGACTCAGGCATATTTTTGAAGCCTGAAACTTACGCAAAGTAATCTTGGCACTGTAACTTGGAAAAAATGACATCAGAGGTAAATTCAGTTCAGGGGTCCTTAGAGAAGACAAAGCAAGCGAAAGCATTACTCGATGTTTGGGTGCCAAACCAATTAACATTAAAAATAAGATGGAAAGAATCTCCATCTGCGAAGCTTTGGCCAAACGGAATAATATAGCCGCTTTTTTTCTTAAACGAATGGTGACTGGAGATGAGAAATTGTTAAAGAGCGGTGAAGCACCTCAAACGGTGACCAAACTAGAAATAACGGTCAGGAAGGTTCTGCTATGCATTTGGTGGGACTGGAAGGGGCCAAACGCTAAATTCTTTAAGATAGCAATTGATCATAAACGGCCAAAATTGGTCAGCAGGAGAGGTGTCGTGTTCCACCACGGCACACACATCTACAGTGACTCGCAAGAAACTTCAGGAGCTTGGCTGGGAAATTTTAATGCATCCGTTCGGACTTGGCACCAAACAATTCTCATCTTTTTCTTGCATTCCAAAATTTCTTTAATGATAAAAAATTGGTATCGAGCAAATATAGAGCAAGACACAATGCTGTTCAGAGACATGTAGTAGGCATACTTCCGATACACCCGGCCAACTTTGAAACTGTAATGTAAATGTGTGGACACTAGCCATCCCTGCAATTCAGAAAAGGCTCTAATTCGATCTGACGAATATAGAAATTCGATAGTTCTAAGATAGTAAAGACTAATTGGAATCGCCAATTGAATTAACTTTGTAGTCCACAAGTAGTTATTCGAAGGCACATATGCTTTTATAGGAAATTATACACCAGTGTGGTTTGGAATCACACCCCAAAGGATTGTGGCAAGATGACTCCTAATTCCATCCTTGAGCCTTTTGCTTGACGAGACAAATATATTACCACCCATTATATCAGATACAAATAGTCTGAAGAAAGAGTAGAGTCGCGTAGGTGTAGCGTTCCGGCGTGACTTAGTAAATAAACCACACTCTCGTATAAGTATCCTATTCACATTACATCACTGTGATCGTGCGTCTTCACTTTATTGTCGATACTACAACATTTCTCACAAATGTTTTGCTGGGTTAACACATTTGTACAAACTAAAACTTTCAAAATATAAAACATACTTTTAGGCTTCTTTCAAAATTGTTCTATTTTCATTTAATTATTTTTTTACAGCAACACATATTGGCCCACTAACAAATTCATTAACCTCCCATCAAAGACGAAACAATAAAACTATTTTGATAGCTCATACATCACCGCATATTCGGTCGACAGCGGAAAATAATTTACCACAAAATTACAGCATAAAACCGGCACACAATTTGCAACATCCGGCCATCGATGGAAATTCCACTGTTGAACTTTTCGATGTAATTGATGAAAATGAGAAAAGCGGACGTACCTTTGGTTTTATTGGCGACATAATTGATAGCTTTACACCGCGCTGTGTAAGGCCATGTACCCTGGATGCTTACAGACGAAATATTTGTTGTGAAACTGTTGTAATTATTCCACCACCGCCATCGAATGTGTGCTGCCAGCCACAGCTTCCGATTTATCCGCCTATTCGACCAATACCCACACCGACGACAACACCACCTCAATCGTATACCACACAGACCCCGCTTGTACTTGTGCCACCACCCACTCGACCTGTTGTAGTACTGCCACCACCTTCATTGGCATATCCGCCAGTGCAAACTCCATGTTGTGCCACTTGCACGACTTATGGTTACTATGGGCCTCCGCCATGCACACGTTACACATTACCACGGAATGGACCAAGTCGTATTTTATTATATGTTCCACCAATTGGTTAAATGTTCACGGCGCATCATCCCCACATTCATGTTTATAGACCTAACTAATGTAGATCCTCTTTTTCAATAATAAATTTAATTTCATACAGACAGAAGCCTTCATGTAATTTAATTATTTTACTTTACAGTAGCTTTTAAGAAATCATCGCAGCTTCAACAAAGTGCCCTCGAAGACAAAAACAACGTGCGAACAAACACAACTCGCTCTGAAACAAAATCCCTGGTGAAGACCGAAGTAACCGTCATCCAAAATAGCACCACAACAATCGACAATAAAAATTCAACTGTTGAAATTTTCAATAAAATTGATGAGAAGCAGCGAAATGGACGCACATTCGATTTAATTACAAGTTTTATGGACAGCCTCACGCCTCGATGTGTTTATCCCTGTACACAAGAGGCATATGACAGGAATCGTTGCTGTGAAACGGTGGTATTGCCACCACAACAGCCGCCGAATGTATGCTGCCAATCACAGCCTCCATTATCACCTATGCCTCAGCCGCCTATACCGCCTCCAGTAGTTCCGCCACAGCCACAATTACCATATCCTACACCATTTCCCCAACAACCGCAACCAATTCCACCACCGTTTCGACCACCATATCGTCCATATCCGTATCCTCAAGTGCCACAGCCTCAACCCATGCCGCCGTATCGTCCGCCGCCCGCCTTTCCCCAACAAATGGCGCCAAGATCGCCGTCACCACAGCAACGCCCAACAATTGTAGTGGCTCCCGCACCAACACCCAATTATCCTTTCTTACAGTGTTGTACATCATGTCCACCGTCCACATCAGCATATGGTGGTTACTATGGACCTCCGCCCTGTCAACGAAACCCAACACCAGTAACTGTGTATGGGCGAGCAACAGTGTATTTACCGTCAGTGGGCTAATAAATATTATTGTCGTTGTTATTTATTTATATATTTTATATTAACTCAAAGTTAATGTGTTATTTTGTAATGAGATACAGTCATTTTTTTCTTATTTTGAGATTTGCCTGTATGCGTATATTATTTGTTTTTATGGGTAATCCTGATATTGGGTACAAAGAAGAAATCCTTTTTTTTTAAATTAATAATTCACAAATAATAGATAATGCCTAATATGAAACATATATTAGGAGTGGGCCTAAAACTATTGAAAAATGTAAAAAACTGGATCGTCGTTTTATATGCCTGTAAATACTATTGTCATAGTTTTATAATTTACAAAGGACGAGTAACTCCCATATATAACCGCCTCAAAATAAATTTACTCATGTGCTCAAAATATAACAAATTCAAAATTCACATAAATTTAAATGAAAACTCAAAACAGACTACATAAAAGTGGTCCTATAGAACCACAAAATCTCGGATTTAACAAACACTTTCTGGGGAGGTACTAGAAATAGTTTAGTAAACAATACTACGATTTGTTAAGTCGAATTTCCTCAATATACATATCGACGCCTCCGAACCATAGTATGCTAAGTCAACTTAGCATGTTTTAAAGTTCTTTACGTTTTTAGATACTACGGTCCTTAATTTAAATTCACTGAAATTTTGGTAATCATCGGCCAATCCAAACCAAAGTTATAAGCAAAAATGTACTTAGCATGGCACGTACGATTAAAGAAACTTCCATACTTTGAAAGCTTCTACTGAAAAACTCACTTTTCAGACTTAGCATAGCTGGCTCGAGAAAGAACATTTGTTCCATAAGCTAGAACATACTTCCTGGCGGGCCGATTTTCAATTTGAAAAAAAAAAATGTTTTGATATGTTATCTTCCGCTTGATCTTATTATCTTATTCATTTCCCTTTAGTAAGCTTGCTTTTATATACATTTTGAGCTTGTGAATTCTCATCCACTCGCACAACTTGGCCTAGCCACTGTAGTCGTTGCAGCCCGATACGTCTCACTATGTCAATGTATAGTGGTTTATTCATAGAATTTTCTCTCATACACTCCAAGAGCTGCCCCGTCTGCTTGTGCAAGTACCCATGCAACAGTATCACCGTATTGAAGACTGTGAGTTTGGTCTGGCGATAAGTGGTCTTGTTTACAAATTGCTTACTGTGAGCCAACACTATTGTTCTCCGAATCTCAAAACTGATATCAGTTGTTTTGTTTGTGTCGATATCGAGGTAGATTTTCATCATCATCTCTGATTACCTCAAAGCTGTAGTTCCACTGTCGGTCCGACTCTAGTGCATGTCTTACGCGTTGATACCAGCAGGATGTTAAAAAGTCACAATATAGGCTGTCATCTTGTCACAAGATAGGCTGTCATCGTTCGGCATTGAAAGGCTCCGATGGGTACTTTCCGACTTTAACTTCTTAACTTCTGCCAGTTAAAGTTATCCTGCATAACCGTATTAATTTTGCAGGAATTTTCGTGGGTCTTTCCCAGGAAGCAGTGAAGCAGTGTAAAAATCTGGTTTATGGCGAATTTTCCAGGTCTGAAGACGTATTGGTATAATCCAAAAATGTCATTGACCATTTGCTTCAGTCGTTCACCAAGAATAACAACAAACCTATGAGAATTTAATAGTTGTTGGACATGTGTTTGTTATTCCTCACATGCTCAACACTTTCTGCTACACACACATTCATTCGCTGTGTGTGTGTGTTTGTTTTTTATTGTTGTTGGTTTTAGCAGCGCTCGCGAACATTCGCAAACATTTGTTTTTTGAGTTTTTCAAAAGAATTTTCTTCAGCAACAAATGCTCGCGAAAGAACGAATCGACGACGCTTACAGCAAAATTTTATCGTTCGTAAATTTTTCGTACAATGCGAACATTCGCAAGAGATTGCAAATGCTTGTTCATTCATTGTAACTTTATCATTCGCGATAAATTGAAAACATTCGAATTCTCGCCGTGAGCATTTGTGATAAATCGCGTATTTTAACCATTCTTCACACCCTGATTTTAATCATTCTACACACCCTGTTGTTCACACAGCACACTGAATATCATTGTATATGCGTTGAGGAGGAGAATAATTCCTCTATCGTTGATACACATAGTATTGTCTAATTTTTTGTGCACGAGACATAGAATGATGAGATTCCAATCATTCAGCCGATTGATTTCTATTCTAACCTCATCTTAGCTAGTTGGTACACAATCTATACCGTCATTTCTTATTGGTTCTGGGGTATCATGTCCACCGCCACTATTTGATACCAGAAGCTTTGCAAAATGCTGCTTCCAGATCCTTAGCAGGCTATCTGTATCTGTCACCAGTTTTTCTTCTTAATCTGCGTGAACCAACCTAACATCCTGAAGACTCGTATCGAGTGGTGCAATATTTGATCTTTGCAATTATTATTCCAGTAATTTTTGTATGTACTAAGAACTCAAATTTTTGGTCTTAAAAAACAGAAGGACAAATCACAGTTTTTTTCTTGAAAATAAAGAATATTGGGTAGAACCATTTTAGAGAACCTACGTCAAAGCATGAACTTATATCAGAAATGTTCTGCAACAATCATGGCGCTATGTCAAAATATGGTCCTACACAGGGACGTACGCAGGGGTCGGCCCTGGGGGCCCGGGAACCCCCCCCCCCCCAAAATGAATTTTTTTCACAGTAAATTTATGTTTCAAACAGTCACACTGTACCTCAAACAGTCACACTGTACAAAACTCGGACTGTTAGGATAATGAGGGAGAGTAAAAATCAAATGAGGTGGTACCATTATATAGGATCGATATTCCCCATTTACAATACCAAACAACTACAGTGCAAATTTTCTGGGTTATCTTATCGATTCTTTAAGTCTTCGAAGTCGAGACACAGCCAACTGAAGTCTATTTATGGAAAATGTATTTCGAATCAAATTGTTGGATGTTTTTATACCCTCCACTATGTAGGGTATATTAATTTTGTCATTACGTTTGTAACTCATCGAAATAGCCATTTCCGTCCGTCCGTCCGTCTGTTGTAATCACGCTATCTTCTGAAGGAATTGAGATAGGATGCTGAAATTTTGCATAGGGTTGTCTTTTGCTTGCAGGCAGGTCAAGTTCGAAGATTTTGGGGGGTTTAAGCGCATTTTTAAACCGAGTTCGCTGAAAATTGAAATTTCTAAACAACATATTACCATGCATATGATGTTTAAGAAATTGCGACGTGATATCACGATAATTTGCAAACTCATGTTCTTTCTGTCAAATTAAAATCTCAACAACCGTCATCACCCAAAATATAAAAAAATCCTATATATATATTAGTTTTTGACATGTTTTTTATTTAACATCATTTTTTCATTATCTCTTGCAGAACAGTCCAGTAAAATCTAGTGTTTCTTATAACGACGAGCACCAATCTTATGTTTCACAACATGGGTATTGTCGGAGGTAGAGTACAAATAGATGGGAACTTCTTCGACGCTAGTTTCAGTTTTTACTCCAGTTCTTTGATTGTCACCGGCAAAGCGACGGGTCGATGGACCGGAATTTTTCTTGGGAGCAACTTCATCGGCGGAGAAATTCAAGGGAGCACTTTCATCATCTTCGTTGACGTTCAAAGGTTCTTCTTCAGCATTAAGGGGTTCAGCAACAGCGACAGAGCTTTCACCTTGTTCGTTTTCTTCAGCTTCGTTAAGGAGATTTTCAATAGCTTCCAAATCGGTCAAACCATGAGCTTGCAATTGTTGATGGAATTCAGTGGGGATGGCGATGGCTTGGACATCCTTATGACCAGAAATGCCATTAGGAGTGGGAATGAATTGGACATCGGCGGGAATTTCAGATGTGGGATAGACAGGAACCAATTCAGCTTCGTTTTCGTTGCTGGATTTCAACAAAATCAATGAAATGGGAACGATTTTCTTGAATTTCAACAAAACCAATTTCTTAATGGCCACAGCACCGGCAATGAGACGACCTTGTTTGGCAGGCTGTTTGGCAATGGAACGGGCTATTGACAAGAAATATATAGAAAATATATTTAAATAAAATAATCATAAATCAGTTAGGATGGGTGTTCCCTCTAAGAATGTGTCTTACCATCGACAACATAGGCAGCTGCCAGCAAAACAACGACTAAACCCCAGACGAATTTCATGTTTGTTGAATTTTAAGTTTTTCTTTACGAGACAATGGAAATGTGTTCGGTATTAAGTAAAATTCTCGATTGATATACTGACTATGAAGACTTGATGTTTTTATTTATACTCTAATCAATGGCCAGCCGTCCAGCAGTCATCTGTCCGAAAACCAAAAACAAAAAAAGAAACCAATGACCCAATTTGCAAAATGCATATTTTCACCAATTTTTGGCAATTTTTAATCCGATACTCTGTCATATACAAAGTAATATACAGTAGACCCTGGATAAAAGCAAATCACATAGTGGAATAATAATTTGCATAAATTGTAATTCGAAAACGTATAATGAATTCTAAGAAATATTTAATTTTTTTTTAAACTGAATCGATTCGATTAATTAAAAAAAAAAAAATTTGGGCATTCCAATGTGATATTAAGACAATTAATTTATTATGTATAACTGAATAAATCAAATTGATCTCGAATATGTAATATATTAAAATATTACCAAAAATGAAACCCGATTACATATTTCACTGTTTCAACCTACTGTTATTAAAATATCACATATGAGTCTAAACTTGATATATTGTACTCCAAACATTCACTATATACAGAATCAACTGTAATCCCACACACATTTTTAATAACTCAAAAAATATATAGGAAATATCTAACACGAAAAATATGCAAATAACTGTCGCAAAATATGCAAAAAAAAAACCTTATTAATGAACGATCTTCATCTTTGTCACTTTTCTGCCATTAAATGAAAGTTTGGTGAAATTAATTCTTTGACAACTAGAAAACAATACCGTTTCAACGACACTGCTATCAATTTTATATTAATATCGATCAATATTAATAAGCAAAAAGAAAGAATGAAAAAAAACCCCCAGATATTAGTTTGGAAATAAAAAACAGATTAAAGTTCAGAAGATCGTTTGATTGATGCTCCAAAGCAAATGAGAGGAAAATTTTGGTTGAGTTGGACTTTTATAAATGTTTTATGGATCTAATCATTTGTTTTTTTTTTATTCGAATTAAATTTGATTCCATCAAATATTGTAAACAGATTCGCAGTCGAGTTGACCAAATCAATGTTGCCTGAGGTGCCATAGAAATTGTATTAATTTCGCATTTACTCTGTTTGCAAATTTTCGTTAAGGATCGTAAATAGTAGCACATATAAGGAATTATGGTATTATCCTGTCAAATACAATTGCACAGAGATGTTTAGAGTACGTGGATACCTCGCGGTCTTACCCCACGGTGCTGTAAACAGCAGTTAAATTGCAGATACCAATTTGTGCATATGTGCGCGCAAAAACGTGCTGCATCGCAGATGAGTAAAAGTACATACGAGCGTATTTTTTTAAATATAATAAATCAAGTGGTGTTTTACACCCTACAACATGCTGTGGTACTTTTGCATACTGTTTCCTGGAAGTCTAGAAGAACGTGTATTAAATGAATTTCAAAATCGCAAATGGTTACGTATAAACATATCTTATATGTTAGCCACATTGTAATGTAAATAACACTGCTGAACAAGATTTTGGCGAGTGGAGAATTCCTTTTTTGGAGATGAAAGACCTAGATAAGTGTATTAGAAAATCGGCACATGCCAAGGCATAGTTTTAAGGTACAGGACAGCGATCAAAAATGGACAAAACCATGTACATCGAATAACGATTTTTTCATAAGAAATAATAGAAAACAGTCCAATTAGAATAAATATGAAATTTTATACGTCAAGTAGTTTTTTGTCTACAAAGGTTCAAATCTGATAATTTTGCAAATTGATTTTTCATCTTATTTACGAACAATCAGTACATTTTTCTGATGCTCAAATATTTGAATATTTAAATTACGCTTTTTATTAAAGTGTCTGTTTTGGTTGATTTGGACGTTATAAACTAGGATTCGTTGTTGTTTGCATGTATATCTCTATATCATGTCGTGTTGTCCACACCTGTAGTACTTAGTTCATCAATTTTGTAGAACAAATTTTGAAATTAGTGGAGTAGTAAATAAGGTTTCAAAAAGTTTTGCCCTATTTTTTATTTGAGTTGTGAGAAGTTTGCTTTTCAACGTATAGAAAAATTCAACTGCGACTATATCTGGCCCTAAAAGTTATTTACCTATCTTGGTGATCTGCTCATTAAGAAAATATGGCATATTCATGAAATGGTTAGAAGTTAAGGAACGAATAAATTACGTCTGCCATTATAGAAATGATTGAGGGCCAAATAGGAAGAAGAAAGACAAGACAGATTCTGAACTAGTAATCATACAATATTTTACATACAATTTTCAAATACTTGGGGAAATATTATAGGAAGCGCAGATATGTTAGAATTAGTTTTAACCACAATTGCTTTTATAACGTTGCTTTTAACACTAGATTGGCGAAGGCGGTCATTTTGACCGTTTTTCAATTTCAAGTACAAAAACAATTGTGTATATTATGATACAGCTTATTAAAATTTGGTGACATTTTGTACCACATAGAACTACGTTTATTAATCATAGTAGCTGTTTCCCCCTCTTTCATTCCCCGTATTCACATGTGCCTAAAATCAGTCATTTTGACCTCTTGTGAAACATTAAGTAATCAAACTACTTTTATTATTGTATGAAGTAAATTTCTTCTATGACCTGATCAGTACAACAACATCGAAAACCATTTGCTACTCTAGAAACACAAAGTCGATTTTACTTTTGGAGTAAGCACTTACTCTTTTCGGAACATTTTGTCCGCGCTCTTATTTTTCAATAAGGGAAACTTGAGAGCCCTCCCACTGAAAACAAATAATAACAACGTTTTGTATGATTGAAAATAATGTAAAAAAAATTAAAAAATAAATTTAAAAAAAATTTCTTTACACAATAAAAATTCTTTGACCGCTTTTAAGCAATATAGGTATATACAAAATTCCAGTCTTTCTAGTGTTAAATTAATTTTTGTCATCTTGAAGATTTTTTTTCATTTAACGGATTATTTAAGAAAATTATAAACAAAATTGACGTATACCTTCGTGGAAAGTTGATACAAGAAAATATTAGTTCATGGCATGACATATGTAAAGTGCAGTACATTATCTTTGGAGTGACTTCCACAAGATGATATCAAGTCAAAATTAGGAGCAACTCGAGCAATTGCTATAGCCGAGTCAACTAAGGATTTTATTCAGTATTTTATATTACATTCCGACAATCTGTTATATCATTAAGCCATAAAATAAATCCAATTTTTCGCCAGTTATTTTATGAACCTAAGTAGATGCAAATTGTAAATTTGTATTACATTTGGTTAAATACCAACGACTTTATAAGCCTAAACAGTGAAATTTCCATGGAAGGTATACCAAATAATGGTCCGATGTATCAACAATTGTCACATGCTGTTTAGGTCAGTAATAAGCACTTTTACAAAATTCCTCCCATCTACCATAACTAATTCCATTCCATTCGGCCTCTCAGTAAAGCATACACATGTCGACCCATCCCATCGAACTTTTTATATTTTGACTATTTCCTAACATCCACCCAAAATCGCATAAAACTTTTTTATAAATTGCCTATTACTTAACATCAATCCCTAACCGCATGAAACGTAGTGGTCAGTTTATTTGTCCGGATATTTCAAATCATGCCTTCCAACACAACACCCTCATGAATATACCCAGTGGGAAAAAGTAATCGATGGTAAACGAACGGGTAATGCACAGCCACTATCATTTGTTGATTACAGTATGCATTATCCGTAACACCCTGCATGTCCTACGAAAATAATATATTCCTCTATACTATCCATATAATGCATAATGTAATCGATGAGTGATAATATATTCTGTTATAGGTCCTTAGTAATATGAGAAATAATTTATTCGCCGGGTTTTATTAAATAATTTGTTTATTTTATATGAAAAACATTTGTTTTTATTCATATATTTTATAATTACAAATATAACAATTTTACATATAGTTTTAAAGGGAAAGTATAACGTATGCACAGAATATTTTTTAGCCACAGGCAATACAAATATTTCCATTGTTTTCTGAAAAAAATGCAATAATAAAATATAGAAAAAGGATTATTTTATTATGATTTCATTACTTACAATTTTTTAAGATCAGACTCTAATTGAAGGGATTGTTGTCCAAGGATGGTATCCAGTTTTTTTGGAATTATGTAAAGGATTAATAATTTCACAATTTGTATTTTATTCCTTTATCCACTTAATTTGCACATTTTTTATTATTTTTGCTAATATTTTCCCATGGACTTTAACAAAATTACGTCTTTGTTGGTGCACGACACAGACAAAACTGACAAATTCACACTCCGACATGAGAGAGTCGGCAAATAACGGGACTTCAAAAATAAATATCAAGAAAAAAGTGAAACATTCCATTACCCTTTTATATCCTTTGGAAAACGAGTAGGCAATTAGTCTGCATTTTTTTTTTGTCAAATGAAATAACCGTCTCGTTACCTTTGGGATATATTATATAATGTATCTTCTATAATGTCTTTAATAATTTAACATTTTGTTCAAATATATATAATGTAATGATTATAATGCATTAGTAAATAGATTCTCAATGTAATACGTTCTCACTTTTCCCACTGGGTATCTACTATAACGACGCCAATGAGAGTGATTTGTACTATGTAGCCTGAGCATTGGACTCTTCGAATATATATGGAATATGTGAACTACATTTAGCAACTGTAATGAAAACCTTCAGAATACAGTTCTTATCTTCAAGATGAAAGTACTCAGAAGTGGCAAATTCATTACAACGCTCGAAATCGCAACAAGTCCATTAAGTGGAAACACACATACACTAATTATACATCTAATTTTCATACTACGGAAAAATATGCATCCACATCACATCATAACTAAATAAAATAAATAAGTGTAACTGCTAATACAAGATTCATTTCAATGCATTTCATCTGTGAATCTTGTTTCAGCTTTTACGAACGTGTAATCAAATACA